GTTGAATGGGGGTGAAGTTCTGTATTGCTTTTTAGGCTTAACGCAAATTAGATCACGATTTATTAGTTGTTTTGGTTAAACGCAGTAACATAACGAAACTTGTAAATTTATTAAAAATGTACTCATATCAATACTTTTCAAAGTAATTCTCTGTGCCTGAAGGTAGACGAGCTAGGCAAATCTATTGTTTAAATGTTATTTTTGTGTTGAACTTGTCTAGCGCAGATAAATACTTTCAATATGGAACTATAAAATAAACCAATGGAGGTACTGTTTCATGTTCTTTTCAAGGCTGACTTTAAAATAAGATTACCACAGATAAAAAAACGAGAAGCGAGTCGCTGCAAAGCAAAAACATAGCTTCAGCAATGTTATGAAAACCTTACTATATAGGATTAATTTAACAAAATGGGAAAATAAGGCTACTTTTATTTCTCTGGATGATCTAGGAGTAAAAACTTAATTTTATCGTCTCAATTGCCCTCGAAAAAGTTAACGTATCCGTATCATAAATTATATCGGGATGTTTCCGTCTGAAGCGTGACTTGCCGCAGTGCATACTGATGGCAACAACCCCCGCTCCCCCTCCCTCCCCCAAATTGAAGGCTTGGAGCACGCTAATAAACTTCGTAGTGCGCAGAAAACACACGCTCGGCCGACCAATGGCAAGGAGCAAACAAAAGCGAAGCGGTGCCCGCGCGGGCGCCCACTAACGGTCCACGCGACGAATCGCTGATTGGTCGCTTCCGCGCCGCCGACCAAAGTACAGGGTTCGTCTCTCGGCGGTGGCGCCCGAGGGCGCGGGCCAACTGACGACGCGCGTGCGCGCCCAGCAAAAAACAAAACCGTCCGCGGGGATGCGCTGCGAGCAGGAAATGATAGAGGGACGAGCCCACTCGGGCGGCTATCGAACGGGCGGCGTAATGAAACAGTCCCCGCGTGAAGATTCTGGCCGCGGTGGCCGTTCGGAGCGGTATCCCGCAGACGTCACTGGAGTCGGCGCAACGGTCGGTCTTCTTTCGAAGGACACGCTGCATTACAAGGATAGGTCTGGCGAGGATGCAATCAAGCGGCTCACAGGAAGGCGGTTTTTTAATTTCCTACGAAAGAGGTTAGGAGAGAACTAGCAGAATTGAATAAGCAACTTCCACATGCTTGAATTTACTGATGACTTCTTCTCGTCCCGAGAACCTTGCGTGCAGGAGACGATGGGAAGAGGGAAGCGCGCTTTGGAACTACTTCGAAAAGACGAGATTGTTGTGACACTGGGGCACAGCTGAGGACAGTCGGAGCCCGATTATACACTTGTTTATTAAAAGCGGTAATGCACGGTTTCTTGCGAAAAAAGGGTCTGCCATCCCAGGAAATGTAAATAAGAAAAGTATCGTGGGGAGAAAGGATCATGTTCAGTAGTGAAACGAAAATGTGTAATGCACAACAATTATATAGTGATAAGTCGCGACCTTTTTAACAGACTCGATAAATGCGGTATTAATAGTTAATCTTTCCAACGTTTCGACCTAAAATTGTGGCCATTACCGGGATTAATATAAGAATCTACAATTGAAGGTATTGTAGATTAATAATTGACTTAATTATACCGCTCGATTGTGACATTACAATTATCAATAACATACTTTTTGATTCACATAACGTAAGTTGTAGTGATGTGTGATAGAATAAGTTGTTTACGTTAGTAAGACATGAGGTTAATTGAGAGCCATAATAGTTGTAAGAGATCTTAAATAACTACATTGTACCAAAATATAATAATAAGAAAGATATTATTTGGAGGTAAATAGCATCAGAAAAAAGTGTTTAACAACCTAATTGACCAATGCATACGAGATGCGGTTTGCAGTATTTTATCACTAGCAGACAAATGTACTCTTAAAGACAAACACACACACACAACTTCAAACATAAGTCTGAGATGATCAAACACTTTTGCATCCAAGCTAATAATCACAGGATTAACTAGTAATTTACTGGATTTATTGAATCCATTAAAAAGGTCGTCGTTTATCACTAGATGCATGTAAAAACGGACGTTTATATCCTTATACGAGTAATACGCCAATTATATTTTATCTCATCCATTTATTATTATTATTATTATTATTATTATTATTATTATTATTATTATTATTATTATTATTATTGCTCGATCTTATTATTAATTGGATTGTTGGTGAAGTAGATACCTTTTTATTATGATAAATAAATAAGATATTGTCAGGTATCAATATTTTAATTCAACTTATGATCATTTCGATCGCGTAGCGATCATCGGGATGATCGCTACCCCTCCCAATAGGTTGCAGGGCAAATTATTTAAGTATTAATAAGGCAAATGAAAGAATAAATTACCTTCATATGCTAACTACTCGAAGAAAGTACACACATACTTCGACACTACACTTCGAAAATACACTACTCTTCCCACACTCAACCACAAACACACACTACATATGCACACCACACCTCACTCTTACACTCATTCTCATCCCACTCCACGTATTAGTACAAAACATATACTGTATGCACTGCACACTTTCCCCATACAAACACACACGTTCGGGCGTGCCCTTTTGAGCAATATTGCCCATCAAAAGCATAGCCGAATCCCGCTGAGCAGCGAGGACGGGGTGTGGGGTCCTTCAGGGAAGCGTTGGGAATTGAGTTGAGCGGTTGGTGAGCCGTTCGCCCTGGCGAGGCGGCGTCTTCGGCCACAGTGCGGTTTGCGCGTTGACTGCGCACCCGCCACGCCAAGCGCGAGTTCGCGCGCTGCGACGTGCACACGATGTTTGCGCACTTTCCCCTAAAGCAGTTTTCAATGGGACATCGCGACTACAAAATAGTTATTTGTGGTGCGAGTGGTAAAAGTGGCATATTATTTGGAGAGTAGGAATGGTTGCGTCATAGTAGTATGTAGCTAAGGCAATTTGTAGATCCTTTTGTGTAGTTTTATCTACTTCCAAAGCCGAGGCGGTGCACACACATTTGCGCGCGTTGCATTGCGATGCAGTTCGTTGCGGAATCAAACGCGAATTCGAAACATCTTTAAATTGGAGTTGCTTCAAAAGTGAAAAGTGTAATCGTCAGTTGTCAATGTGGTCTCAGATGAACACAAATGACGCCTCTGAGCTAAATTTAAATCGCCTTTTCGTTGCCCGAGAGATACCTCTTTCTCCGCAAGTTAGTGAAAGGAGCGTTGCAAAATTTGGGAGGTCAGACGGAAGAGCGGGCCTGACGGCCCGAGTCTCGCCACGTAAAATAAGACATCAATTCAATTCAATTCAATTTAATGTGTCTACACAAGTTTGTTACGAGTCGCACAATATGTACTGTACTCAGAGTAGCAATGTATTATATAAAATTATGATATATTCTTGTAATTTTATAACCGAGCTATTATTGGAAACAATTGGTTGAGCGAACAATAAGATTATTGACTGAACGTGAGTTTTTTACCCACAATTTCACAGATTTGAAAGTGTGCTGTGCAATTAAGATTTTGCTCTCCAATTTGAACGTGTAAAATAGTGCTTCTGATTTTTGGACATCCTGGCTGGTTCTTAAATATGGTGAATTGACGCATTGACACACTGATGACGACTTGGGTCCGGATGTTTATGACATTGTCAGAAATATGGACGCATTTGTGACCTTAAAAATATGAAAATATGATCATAAATATGTCTTAAAAATTTGTTAGTTGCAGTCTCAAAACCTTAAAATTATTTCCGCTGTTTAAATAACTATCATATTAAAAATATACTCTTAAAATTAAACACATTCTGAATACACTCCTACTTAGGCGCCCCATGAAGACAATTGGAACAATTGATTCAGATTTTTTAATGCTAAAATTATTGATAGAAGCTGTTGACCTTGGCATATAACCTGACAAAACTAAACTAACACTTCCTTCACCACTGGTGCTTTTACGCTTTCTTTTATTCTTCTATACGGCTTTTCCCTTCTAATTCACCTATATGGCCTCGTATATTTATAGGAAAGACAGACAATTAGATACAGACAGCAATTGTAAGAAATTAGATAATAGGAGATGTGAAAAATATTTTCGAGACGACTGCAAGCATCTATGCGAAAGTGAAATCAATAAGATGAAAGTATGAAAAAAGTACAAAACTTCGTGGAAAAATATGATCATACTATGAAATATTACCAAAGGGTTTAAAAAAAGCCAAAATATGACTTAATATGACACGTGCAAATTGCATAATGTTGGTCATTGTAGATAAAATCGTGTTTAATGTATATTTTCTATGGAAATAACCGGAAAGAAGTATAACCTGTCGCAAACATACGGGCCCTAATGATGACGTATCAGAATACCTCGCACTTGGAGGAGGCGCGGGTTGCGTCGCGCCCTGCCCAAAGAGAACTCACCTCGCCTCCCTACACCAATAGCTTTGACGAAACGCCCGACGAAGCAGCACGAATTGGAAGAGGAAACGCGTGGCAAACCGAAACCTCCTCGCCCTAGTTTAGCTTTCAGGTTTTGGCACTTTTCATTTAGAAAGTAGCTTTATTTATTTAACGAGTTAAAACCTGTGTGTGACGAAAGGGGGAGAAGTACAATCTGTGCGCATTCTTCTTGAGCCCCAGAATCCCCACCTTCACTCTTTTATTTTACTATGTTGAAATATGAATAAAGATTGCAAAGAGCGTTTCTGGCAAATGCGGTACAGATTGTGGCTCGAATTTCTTAATCCGTTTTGCGTGCACCGCCCACCCCACCCTACATATCTGCTTGGAGTAATGTTTTGTATACGCGACCCCCTCCGACTTTTTCCGACTCCTTAAAGTGTGTTCATGCGAAATTCGGGAGCAATCGCTGCAATGTTCGTAGAACGCCAACACGCCCTCGCACTGGTAAGCCCATGTGTATCCATTAAGACGTCCGCCCGCCCGAGCTGGCGTGGCGCGTGCGTGCCGAAGGAGAGACGAGCGCAGGCGCTTTGTGTCCGCAGCAAGGTGCCGGCCTTCCTCAACGTGGTGGACATCGCCGGGCTGGTGCAAGGCGCCGCGGAGGGCAAGGGCCTGGGCAACGCCTTCTTGTCGCACATCAAGGCTTGCGACGCGCTCTTCCACCTATGCCGTAAGTCTCCTTTCACTTAGATATTTTTGACAAACTACCCGACGTGTTGTTCATATTTCCCGAAATAAATATAGAAAGTAACGTATGCATTAGAAATGTTAATTCTAATTTGTAATTGCATGAATTTAGTTTTTCTATGGGGCACTCCTTTTGTTGTCTTACTGGTTGCGTGTTGAGTTTTTGCCCTGTTTGTTGTCGGCCTTCGGGTATTTTTAAGTATTATTTTGTAAACTTTGTGAAATAATGTATTTTCTAGAATGTGCAGTTTAACTCGTAGCTGTAGATAAATCGTTAATGTGTCCTTTTCGTATTCGTCCCTCAGGAAGTGTTCCAACGGAACTCGATTTTGCTGAGGGTAACTTGCAAAGAAAAAGCAGACTGTGTTGACACAAAGGATCAGCTGCAGGAAGGCATCCACGAAGTATTTTAGAGGGAGGTAATTACACTCCTGGGTTACTCTTTAAATGCGTTTGAAATATTTTAATTGTTAGTTTCAAACAAAATAATGTTTATAATGGGATTGTTCCGTTGGATCAATATGATTTTTTTAAAATAAATTTAGTAATTTATAAACAAAAAAAATGTTCTCGGAGGAGGGGTCATTGCTCCCTCTTAGATCCGCCATTTAGCAGAAGGAGCATATTGATGTTGGAACAAGGAACACCGTCCTGGCACGGCTTTTTGGAAGTATTGAATTGCTTTTAATGATGGTATGTTGATCTGGTATAATACAGAATTGAACGTTGCGGTTCTGTGAAATATACGAGAGCATCTCCAATGTTCAGCACGTTATGAATGCGTCTTTATTTTTTGATTTGTTAAAGTTCCGTTATAAATTGCTCTCGGAAAGGAAATGTACGTGTTTACAAAGCATTCTACTTTTAACTTAATGCTACGGTAGTTTCGACGTTTAATTCTGTGTTCAAAATCGTTCAAATGAATTTAATACTCTCTAGTCGAGGTTGTACCTCAAACACCCAACAGGAGTAGGTACTGTACATACTGTTTACTTCCGATGGGTTTTGCTTCTCCGTCAGTGGAAACGAATTTATATGTGCTTCATAATTTGATGTTGCAACTTCTATGCCTTGCTGTTCGTTCATTAGCCAAAACTTATATTTTCTGTTAATGTTTTACAAATATTACCACATTGGCGGTCACGTGATGGGTACGATTTTTATTGATACCGTCTGTTAATTTCAGAGGTAGATTTCTAGTGGCTCCTCCCTGTTATTACACAGCTAGTAGAAGCGATTCTCACGATGGTTTTCCTTTTATTAAACCCTCTTATAATTCGTCCTCATTTTGTCGATATAAATTTGTTCTTGAGTGAATAACCTGCGTATGCGTATCAGTTGACCCTTTGAGAGTTCACCCACGTATGTGCGTGCTCGCTTGCATTATGTCGTCGCCATTATAAGACCACTTACCTGTAATAAAATGTTTTGAATTTACTGAACTTTCCCGCAATAACCTGGATTTACGTGTTTTTGCCCTGCGTGCATATTCAAGAGTATCGATAAATACCTGTTCGTGGTTCCTGTTGATATCTGTTATTATAAGTGATTTAACCAGTTTATGTAATTGAGGGTATTGCACCCTGCACTGGAATGGAATAGTACAAAAACCGCTGAAAATAATTTAAGGAACTTGTAGCTGTGAGATCACAAGAACTCTGCTTCCTGGGGTTTCCTGCGGGGGGGGGGGGGGCACGATTCCAGGAGGGCACAATTTTTCCACTGTAGTTGCCAACCGAATTTTCTTTTTGCCACAACCGTAAAACTCATTGACAACCAGTCCTCACTCCACTAAGATCACGAAGTCTACAATATAAACATTTCTTGGCGTAGTTTCTAACAAAATGAAGTTTAATATTTTTAGAATATTCTAAAATAATTCTAGAAAAACACATTTGATGGATGAGGTAAAGCACTTAGGGTGATGTAACGTTGTGAATTGCTTTACATTTTCGACACCATATTCGACTTCGAGTTGATTCATCAGATTGTCGGTACTTAAATAAAATTTTGTAAAAAATAAAAAATAAAAAAAAATATTTATGCCATTGAATGTGCTCAAGGATGTCTGCGGTCGTCTTCAGATATACTTTTATTATGAACTTGCAAACCAAAAATAAAAATATTTAACGTGGCAGGAAAATACCCGCAAGAGGCACTATGCTGAGCTAGTCATACAACTTTATTTGAACACATATGCGAGACATTTGATATAAAAACCAGCTCATTCCATTTGAGAACATTTTATCAGAAAAACAAAAAATATGTTGCATTCACACTTGGTGTGGTATGAGAGAGACATGTTCTGGTAAATTTCTAGGTGGAAATCACGTAGGTTTTGGGTTATCTGCCTGCGGGATGTTACAAAAGACCCCATAAAGAAGCAAAACTGCCCATATTTTAAAAATAATGGTATAAGTTGGATTTGGTAACTAACGTGTCAGGTGTATTTCCTCATGTGGATTTAATCTTGGGGCTGACGAAAACGACTCATAATGTTTCGTCATTAATTTTTCTTACCCTTGCATTCCTCGAAAGTCCTAAAACTCGTGAACTGTCATTATTTTGGCGTTCGCGTTAGTTCCTTGGTAGGGTTGCTCCGTGCTTACATTTGCCACTTCTTTGCAAGTGGCATAAGCGCTTTCTCCGTTTCTTCACGCTTTTGAGTCTTCGTTATGCGTTTCTCTGTGACCTGGTTCATTATTGGTCAATATTCATTCTAATATTGTTGCAACTACGTGCTCTGTTTCGTTTTCCTCGTGTTTTTGCCTTCCGAAAGAATACGCGTTGTTAGTGGCCTAAAGTTTTGTTCAACATTTAATTGTACAATTGTAACTAGATGGTCGGTCTCCTCTCCCATATGTCTCCGTGTTACTTATGGGCTTCTAATGCCCTTCGTTTTCTTTTGTTTTTTTGTTGGAACAGGCCTCCTTTTAAGCAAATATTCGGATGCTATTTAGCGCTTTTCCATGAGAAGTGTGCTATTAGTTGGTATTATTTTAACACCAGTCGTGTAACGTTCGTCATATTCAAATCTGTGGGCGGAAGTACAGGGCACTTCTATCCATTTTTTACTGAAATGAAGTTATTGGCTCAATCATACCGGTTTGTTGTTTTCGACCCATGGTCGTGCACTCTACAAGACTATGTCCTACATTACACCATTGCCCAAATTCCAACATCTTCAAACTGGTGTCCTGTAAAATTTAGTAAATGTAACGTGGTAACGTACTTCCGACTTAGAAATATACTGATATTTCGTCTATACTCCACTCATGAAATGTTAAGCCCTTCCAGAATGGAGACCACGATAATGAATGACCTTCGTTGTAATTAGTGGTCCACGAAAAATTGACAAAAGGAAGAGAAACTTGGTAAGTTTTGCTGAGCCGTTGTCTTGTAGCCGTTCCACGTGACGTGCCAGCGAGAATCTGATCCTTCGCGCCTACGATTGCTCGTGGACGTGTGGTCGCAATGGCGCATTTCCATGACAGAGGGGCAGGGGTTCCAGCGCCCGCTCATCTGCATGAGCTGCTTCGGAAGGCGCGGCGGTGGGTTTTCCCAGAAACGCTCGTGCCCAGGGCAGGGGGCCCGTTTGTGGCGACGGAGATCTCCATTAGGGAAGAAGTGTTAACCTCATATCACGCATGTTCTCCTTTATATTCCGATGCGAACACATCACCGGAAAAAAACGTGTAGAGTATCGTGTAGAAATACAAATAGAACAATAGCAAATGAAAATTTTGCGTTTTTCGAGAGTTTCGATTTCAAGGATATCTCTTTAGTTTCCACGTTGTTTATCAGTATATCTCTAAAACAGTTGTTTTTTCCGCTTAAATATTATTTCTCATTAACATAAGTCAGTAATGGTGTTCTTTAATTTCTGCAGAACGTTTTTTTTTTTGTATACGTAGTGTCATTAACAATATGGGAAATTATTATTAACGGTATCTACCGAAAAGTGAAAATGAAAAATATAGTGTGTTGTGCGTATGCATGGTAAGTGAATAAATAGAATGGGAGTTTTCTATAATAAACTTGCTATTAAGAAAATATTAAGGGTATGAAAGCGTTCTTTTCGTATTTTAAACTTCTCCCACAGACGCAGAAGTTGTATAAAATAGAGTTGTATATTCCCCCATAATATAATTCTTTGCCTTCTCTTATCATTCTTAGTTTCTCATATCCTCCCTGGTTTTTCATGTGATTTGATTGCGTGTTGAGTCGTAACGTGGGTGTGTGCTTGCCATTGCGCTGTGCCCATAACGGAGCCGTGCGCGTTGGCCTGTGGGCGCGCGCTGGGGTGGCGGGGGCCGTGGGAAAAGCCGTGTGTCGGCCGCGCCGCAGACCACAGACCGCGAGATGTCACCTGGCGCCCCGGCCGCCCGCGGCCCGTGGCCCGCCGCCCCGCCAGCGAGCGCAAACGCGAACGGGAACGCGATCCCGCGCCTCCGCACCGCCGCAGCGCCGCACACCTTTGTCTGGCGGCAGCGAGGATAAATCGACCGGCCCGCCCCGCGCACCTGGTCCGCCGCTGCGTCTCGTGTATCTGGGAGGCCCCCGCTCGGTCAAGTGTTCAATGTATGACCGCGGTGGGGTGGTGGGAGGGGGCAGGGCAGGCATGAACCTTCCGAGACTCGCTAGGGGTGCCTCGCGGTTAAAACGCGGAGTTCCCACGATACATTTCCGTTGTTCTGATTTGTGGTTGTGTGTCCACAACATGTTTGATTTTTTTCTCTCTCATAATTGCTTCTGTGGATCGCCGCACAACTGCCAGCTCAAGATCCTGTTACCGATTGACATTTGTACTCGCAATCATGCGAACGCGAACGAGTTGGAATGTGAATTGCGGGAGCATTCGAATGTGCCCGGCCGCAGCAAGGGATGCTGTTCGTGCCCTGCGGGCGATCAATGCATTTTCGAATGCCAGGCGGGCTCCATCTCACGACATGGAGTTCAATGTTATTGAATTCATCTCGTTTC